TATCCTTAAGGCTAAAGTCGCCAAATGTAGATTCATATGTACTTTATAGAATTTCAATTTTTGTCAAAATTTACAACCCCCCCCCCCTCCCTATATTCGCCCTCTCATCTATTTGTAAAAGGCGTAATTAAAATTCTAGAGACTTGTTCTTTGGTAAATGCATGCATATCCATGTTATAATCATCTGAAGGTTTCATGAAGATAGTCCACCCACAAGAATAGTTATTAAACAATTAATTTACCATGCCAAGAAACCATTGCAGCCGATGCGTGTTTTAGTGTGCGTGCGTATGTGTATGTGTGTGTGCAAAATTTATTGAAATATCGGTTGCTCGAAGGGTTCAAAGGATCTCTTAGTCGGGTAGTCTCGACTAGAGCTTTCTTACTTTTTTTTTTTTTTATTAATTTATAGGATCATAACATTAGCTTACGTGCTAAACTTCAGCGTTCTAGCTTAACATAGACAGAGTTTTATCCGATTTACCATGCCCCCTCAATGAGCATATATATATCCACCATAGCTTGTTGATCTTCAAATAATATGATTTCTGGCATATCGGAAAAGTCAATATACTCATTTCACGTTCGTGAATGAATATAAATATTACCTATGATTGTTTAAATTCAAAGTAAAAAACTTAAAATATAATATATCAATATTCAATTAAAGGAGTACCCCTTTCAAAGTTCATTGCTAGAATGACTAATCTTATCGATAAATTGAGTAAATATATGTTCGTAAATAGATGCTTGATATTAGCACTATAGAAAGTTACAAAAATATTACTAAACCTTTTAAAAATTTTCAAATCAAGCAAAATGGATTGTGACAGCATGCAAATGGCTATCACGGAGGAACATCAATCAACCGTACGTATTAAACACTATTCTACTAGTTATTGCGTTGTATGTTTTTGTAAATAGTGAATACATACATACATATGTATGTATTTGAATTTATATACATACATAAATACAGTCAAAGCAATACGTAAACAACTGCAGAGGATGTAGTGAATATTGGAGATTTAGAAACATACATAGTTAAAAACATTTTTACCACTTGGCTTATGTTTTATTTTAATAATCAGCGTAATGCTGCACTTTTCTGACAGGGCGCTCTTTTTATGTAACGCGTAATTTTAGTTAATAGCTAAATTTAATAGTGTTTAATACTTACCCCTAAACAATTCTTTATATCTATCATAGAACTAACAATCATTGTGAATATTGCATATGAGATACATACATATTAATTAATCCATATATTTATGAACTGTTAATATGTACATATGTACACACAAAACATAATGGCTCTATTATTATTTTTCTCTTTAGTCAGAATTTATAAATTTAGTAGTCGTATATAGTCTATATATACAGTACTCTAGTGTGGGAGCGCATAACTTATATATATATATATATAGACCATATACGACCATATATATATATATATATATATATATATATATATATATAGACCATATACGACTACCGAAGGCACTTGCTGCCAGTGCTTAGCCTTAATTTAGAGTTGATTTTATATTAATTGTAACTTCTTAATAATAATAATAATAATAATAATATATATATATAATAATATATATATATTCGTGCAATAAAGGTTTTAAACTTTTAAAACATTATATATTTCAGGAACGCAAGGAATGCGGACGAAGAGGACGTAAGCCGGGCAGAAAATCGTCGTCGGAAAAAGTCGATGTAAAAGCTAAACTTGGTAAAAATATTAAATTTTAAATTTTAATTTAAAAAATATGTAAACTGATTTGTATTTAATTAAATACCATAACTTTAGAGCGAAGCAGACAAAGCGCACGAGAATGCCGCGCACGAAAAAAACTTCGGTATCAGTACTTGGAGGAGCTAGTTGCAGATCGTGAAAAAGCAGTTATAGCTTTGCGTGCGGAACTGGAGCGAGTTGGTTAATACATATTAATAAACCTAATGTTCAATTATTGTAAATTTTTTATTACAGTTCATGCAATGCGATAGACGACTAGACGAAATGGCATCTCCCAATGATATTGATCAGTTACTTAAAGACATTGGCATTCTTAAACAAGAAATATTTACATAGGCTACACAAAAAATATAATAATTCTTATTTCTTAATGTATGTAATCCTACATTACTATTATTATCTCTAAAAAATATTTCAGCATGGCTTTTATTTAAGAACGAATACGAGATTGTTTATTTTGTATGCATATAAGAATGTCCTTAAGCTTTTTAAATATACATATGTAAATAGTATGTATGAATCGATCAAAAAATTTCTATCTACTCAATTTTGATCAAACATTTTTAAAGCGCTACAAGCAGAGCTCGCAAATGAGAGTTGATCGTTTTTTCGATTATGCTCTGCTTCGCATCATAACCGAAAAAATTGTGCAGACACGACTCGCTCTGGGCGACACTCTTTGTTTTCTTTAGAATCTGTTTCGGTCAGACGCAATGCAATGACTCATTCGTGTGACGCTCTCACATGAGTGTCGCGTAAAACTAACACGATTTTCCCTCACACAAAGCCTCTCAGCAAAACACAGTTTGACTAAAAAACTCAACAGAAATGATCTTTGCCTTCGTGTGCATGTAAATACATGCATACATACATACAAAAAGATCGCAACAAACGCGCGTGATTACCCATACAAACGCAACTGACAGTTTGCTTCATTTAACTCAAGCAAACGATCAGTGTTTGACTTAAGCGAAACGAAAACAGAAATAACTGTCTCCCTCAGAGCGCGAGCGAGCTAAGCCAGACGCGACAAAAACATACTCGTGTATATCTCCGATTTATAAAGTGGTAAAATTTTCCCGATCTGCCCACTAGGGGCGTGGCAAATCGGAAAATGCACTTTCCGATATACCAGAAATCATGTTTGTTGAAGAGCTAGAAAGCTGAAATTTGGTATGTAGGTCCGCGTTGACCACCCAAGATCACAAGCTATGGCGGATATATCTCCGCCCATTAGGGGCGTGGCGAATCGGACAAAACTGTATCTCCTGAAGTTATAAACCTAGAATGCTGAAATTTTGCACGTAAGCTGATGTTTTAATTCTATGAAGATGGGTGAAAAAATTATATATCTACGCCCACTAGGGGCGTGGCAAATCGGACCTGAAGATATAGTGATTTTTCGAATTCTGCTATATTTTAGGCACTATTGATGCTAGAGATCTGAAATTTGGTATATATACGCGGGTTAATCACCCAAGTCCAACGAGCTATGGCAGATATATGTCCGCCCATAGGGGGCGTGGCAAACCGCAAAAGTTTATATCTCCTACAGTTTAAGAGCTAGAAGCTTCAAATTTGGATAGTTAAGTTACTGGTAGCCTCCTCTATCGATGCCCCAAAAATAATTTTTAAGCCTCTTTAGGGGCGTGGCATATCGAAAAATACCCTGTAATTTTCACATGTTTTGAGCATAGCTCGCAAGTAACTGTTAACACTTTTTCGTTGTCTGCAAATAAGTGTCTTTCACTGAAGCAATCAAGAAAAACTCAGACAGAAACTGTTTTTGTCGCGTCTGGCTTAGGTCGCTCGCGCTCTGAGGGAGACAGTTATTTCTGTTTTCGTTTCGCTTAAGTCAAACACTGATCGTTTGCTTGAGTTAAATGAAGCAAACTGTCAGTTGCGTTTGTATGGGTAATCACGCGCGTTTGTTGCGTTCTTTTTGTATGTATGTATGCATGTATTTACATGCACACGAGGGCAAAGATCATTTCTGTTGAGTTTTTTAGTCAAACTGTGTTTTGCTGAGAGGCTTTGTGTGAGGGAAAATCGTGTTAGTCTTTGCGCGACACTCATGTTAGAGCGTCACACGAATGAGTCATTGCATTGCGTCTGACCGAAAGATTCTAAAGAAAATAAAGAGTGTCGCTCAGAGCGAGATCGTGTCTGCACAATTTTTTCGGTTATGATACGAAGCAGAGCATATACGAAAAAACTATCAACTCTCATTTGCGAGCTCTGGTTTTGAGGGTAAGCATTCAAACTTTGCAGTTAGGGTACCGTTATCTCGTTCTAAGAACTGACCAAAAATTAGGTGTCTACGCCCAGTAGGGGCGTGGCAAATCGGGAAAAACTGCATTTTCTACAGTATTAGAGCGAAACTTAGCAACTAAATTGCTGATGGGATGTGAATGAGTATTCCGCAGTCGGTAACGCCCGAGTGCATTTATATTTTCTTGTTTTAAAATATAAATGTAATACAAAACTCACTCACACTGAACCAAACTAACTGCTGATTTGATTCTAAGAATCTGCTAGAATAACCAAACTATTAAAAACGCACATTTAGTATGGTTAAAATTTCAATTTCAGTGACCGGGATTCGAACCGCGACTTCTCGATCGAACGTCATGCCGCTACTCACTACGCCACCTCACTTGGAAGACCCGCTGGTTAGTGATAAAAGCCACTCCTTGGCGGGATAGTACGTTTTTCGTTTTGCAATCAACACCTGTCTGCTTAGGTCAGATACATATGTATGTATGTCTACCCATCTAGAATCCTTACTAGGATTTGGCTTTCATTTTTGGAGGATCTAAGTTGAACTTGTTTTTACAATTTATAATGGTTTGCACAATAGATCGGCCTCACGCAATTTCGCGCACACCTTTCCCATCTAAGCGGCGCTTCAATATATGTATATATACATACATGTATTTATACACGCTTTTAATGGAATTTGCTTTCCTTGAGCCATGACTGAACATGACAGGGCAAAGGTACATACATACATACATATGTACGTAAACTGTTTCGACTTGCTTTCTGGCATTTCTTGTTCATTTTTGTACATACATATGTATGTATGTATATACATACTATGTATATACGTTGGAAGCATTACGACATAGCTGCGATTTTTGTCTATTTTGGGACCATCCCGACTTTAATATAATCATTAAATGGATCAGAGAGAAATAAATTAGATTTTAGGCCCTATGAATTTTTAAATACTGTGTTTTAATATCATTTACGACTTTAGACATTTTTATTTTGCTCTTGAATTCTAAGTTTCCAAAAACTTAGTCCGTATTTTTCATTAAATATATGTAACTTAATTATTTTTAATAGTTGGCTAATTTAGTTCTTAAATTTGAATATATAAAAATTTCGTTTGATGCAATTTGTAAGTAAAATAAATAGTATTCGAAAGCTGATGTCCTAGCATAGAAATATGTTTTAATAGATGAATTTCTTGCTGATTTAAAACCAAATCTTAATATTTGTGTTTAGTATATGTATGTACATATTAGCAATGATTTTATATGATAACTGGGTTGTATCAATATCGCACAGACATTTAATATTTTTCTATTAACATCTTCAAATTATATGGTTTAGAAACGATGATTAGCAACTGGGGACCGAGACCTAAATCGTCCACCACTTTGCCCTCCGCTGCGACTATAGCTAGAACTGGTTCCACCGCCATAACGACTACTTTCTCGCGTTCCGTTGTATATGTCGCGACGATTGAATCCGTTGCTGCCGCCATCTCTAGCACCGCCATACGCGGTACTTGAACGGCCGGAACTGTAACCGCGATCCAAATGGCGACTGCTTGAGCTACTGGAGCCTCTCTGTTGCCGGAATCCACCGTTGCTACTGCTACTTGTAATGCTGTGTCTGCCGACATCACCGCGGCGTCCTCTCTCTCCAGGTCCTCCTCGTCGTCCTTGCCGTGGACGACCCTTCGAAATTTCCACACGTAATTGTGAGCCCAAGAGCTCCGAACCATTTAAAATGTCACATGCCTTTTCGGCATCGTCACGATGTTCAAATTCAACAAATGCAAATCCGGGCGGATTAAATGCAATCCATACTGAATTTAGCTTTCCATACTTTGTAAATTCGCCTTCCAAATCATCCTTCTTTACTTTATCAGTTAAATTACCGACATAAACTCTAGTCCCCCGTTGATCAGTCATGTTTTATAAACAAATATATCTGTGTTTGTGCAGATAATTATTAATCAATATTTTCAGCGCTGCACTTCAGCTCGTTTTTTAGTATGTACATCAAAAGTTCTCGTTCAGAGGGACCATATTATTGTCTGTCATTTGGTTCAGTATAAACTAGCTCATACTAGTGACAAAGTAATTACAGAATGCATTTCATATAATCGAATGACAAAGTATCCTTGCTTTGGAATAGTGAAATGAATGCAAAAATACCATACTATTGATAAATTTAATATATTTTATATATAATCACTGACCAGAAAACACATAGACTAGACATGTAGTACAAAGTTTTTCAACACCGAAAAATCTGTCTCCTAAGGCCTATCAATTTCGTATTTGCTCGGCTCTTCACTTTTTAGGTTCGGGCTACGAAAATATGCGAAAGTACAATCATTCCGCTTCATGCGCTCGACCGAGATGGTCAAATGTTGAATAAAAGATGCCTCTATGCTCAATTTTTGTTCTTGCTCTCTCGCTCTCTCTGCTCTCTCAAATATGTATATGTATGTATGCATGTGAGCACAAGCAGCAGCTCACGAAAATTGAAATTTCGTCGCAGCAAGAACCCATGCCTTCCCTTCTGTGTGAAGAGTATACCGAACTTTTCAAACCGTTTGCCAAGCTCCTACAAAATATTTGCGTTTTCGTTATTATTTGTGGGAAGGGTATGAAAGCGTTGGTGCTCCTATTGTTGCAAAACGTTCAAAAATTGTCGTAGGCACACGTCAATGCTCATGTCGCATGCATACACACATAAACATACGCACATGCACATACATATAAAGGCACTCAGATGCTTCTACAATGATAACCCCATCATTTGTGAGCATCGCGGCCCCTGCGTACACACAATCAAACATATGTATGTAAGTGTGAGCAGTTCACAAGATCGACCTAATGCAAATGCTGGGCTTTAAAATTGCTACAGGCAGCAAGAGCCTCGCACACAGGCATACAAATGCTCATAGTACATGTAGCAAGGGAGAGTGTGTGCGTGCACGCTCGTCGCAAAAGCATTTTCATTATGAGCACCAACGCTTTCATACCCTTCCCACAAATAATAACGAAAACGCAAATATTTTGTAGGAGCTTGGCAAACGGTTTGAAAAGTTCGGTATAGAGGGATCTTTTGTTCAAAATTTGACCATCTCGGTCGAGCGCATGAAGCAAAATGATTGTGCGTTCGTATTTTTTCGTAGCTCGAACCTAAAAGTAAGGAGCCGAGCGAGTCCAAAGCTGTCTGGGGTGTTAAAGCCTCAAAAAAAGCGTGCAAACAGCTTTCCACTAGTTGTCTAGTCTATGTGTTCTGTGGTTAGTGACTAAACTAAGAAAAAAGCACAATTGAATCAAAATTTCTATTTCGATATATTTAAAAATATAAATTAAATTAGAAACTCATTTAACTGCACTATTTATACCCTGAACCCATTTTCAATGGGAAATCAGGGTATAATGGTTTTGTTGAAATGTATGTAACAGGCACAAAGTATATATATTCTTGATCAGGGTGACGAGCTGAGTCGATATAGCCCTGTCCGTCTGTCTGTCTGTCCGTCCGTCCGTCTGTCCGTATGTTTGAACGCGTCGATTTCCGAAGATATAAGAGCTAGAGACTTCAAATTTTTTTTAAATGTCCGTAATTACAGCGTGGATATCGAGTTTATCATTAAAAATCGATAACTAATCCCGATCTTTTTTATCGATAAAAAACTTATCGAAAACCAGTTATAAAATTATATCTCCTACATCTTTAGAGCTAGAGCTTGCAAATTTTAAATGTAGACTTATATGTATTTTATATAATTTCGATTTTTGTTGTTATTTACCCACCACCCCTATATCCACCCCCTCACCCTCACCTTTGTAAAAGGCGTACTTCAAGTACTAGATACTTGTGCTTTGGAATGTACATACATTTAAATAATATGATTATGTTCTGAAAGTTTCATTAAGATTGTTTGTATAGAAATTAAATTATTCAACAAATAAATTCTTATAATGTTGCCCACACTGCAGCGCAGCCCAAGCGCAGTCGCTGCTTACTGCGCAGTTAGCAGAGCGCGTTCTAATACGTGCCGAAAAGAAGTGCAGAGTGTTTAGAATATCAGATTAGAGGGTTCAGGGTATCTCCTAGTCGAGCAGTCTCGACTAGAGTCTTCTTACTTGTTTTATATATGTACATATGTATTGCAAAAACTAATGACATGAGGCACTTTTACTAGTTACAATTGGGAAAATTAAATATTTTGAAATAATGAAAATAAACATAAATTGCGCGCTCTAGAGTCAAACCCGAGACTTCTCGATCGAGCGTCGCGCTGCTAGTCACACCACCACTTCACTTTTTATACCCTGAGCCCATTGAAAATGGGAAATCAGGGTATAATGGTTTTGTGAAAAGTATGTAACAGGCAGAAGGAATCATCGCAGACCCCATAAAGTATATATATTCTTGATCAGCACGACGAGCTGAGTCGATATAGCCCTGTCCGTCTGTCCGTCCGTCCGTCCGTCCGTCCGTCCGTATGAGCAAAAGAATCTCAGAAGATATAAGAGCTAGAGAGCTGAAATTTGGCATGCATACTCGTGTATACCATAGGCAGTACAAGTTTGCTTTATTTTTTCGATAACTCGTCCGATAACTTTTTTATCGAGAATAATCGAAAAATCGACTTGGTTTTTTCAGCCTAATTTTAACAGTTTTAGACCTGGAGACTTCGAATTTGGGTTGTATATAAAGTTAATGGACACAAAGATTTTGTAATTTACAGATTTTGGATACCACGCCCCCTTCGCCCCCAATTTGTAAAAAAATTGAAATTTGCATTTCAAGTACTACAGACTTGTGCTTTGGATTGTACACACATTTTAACCATATGATTACGCTCTGAAAGTTTCATTAAGATTGTGTGTCTACAAAAGAAATTATTCAAGAAATAAATTCTCATAATATTGCCCACATTGCAGCGCAGCCCAAGCGCAGTCGCTGCTTACTGCGCAGTTAGCAGAGCGCGTGCTTATAAGTGCATGTGTATGTATGTGTGCATAAAAGAAGTCCAGACTGAGTAGAATATCAGCTTGGAGGGTTCAGGGTATCTCCTAGTCGAGCAGTCTCGACTGGAGCCTTCTTACTTGTTAAGAGAGTGATAGTAAAACTGAAATAGATTCACTGCTGCAGCGCCATCTAGCAAGTCTAAACTAAACTACTGCTGATGTGATTCTAATAATAAAAACTGTTGTAGCTGCTGCACGTCCCTTTGTTAATTGGTCAAACATTTTGTTATTTTTTAACTTCAATAGACTTAATGAAACTTTCAGCATATGCTCTACATATTTTATTGGATATTTGACAAATATAAAAAAATGCCAAATCATTCACAATTAAGCGGGGTATCCACAGACGAATTACACGAACTTGTTGTGTTCGTCAAATATTCGAATGTGGATAGCAGTGTTTGTAAGAACATTTTGTTCGCCAACTGTGTTCACATAAAAATAGAAATGTTTCTTTCTTACGAGTGTTCGTGCAAACATGTTCGACAATGGATTCGAGTGTTCGTACGAACATAATTTCTAGAAATATTTCGGTATGACTACCACTAGCCATACAGCGTTAGCACCCCAGAATTCGAATCCGCTCAGCTCCTCACTTTTAAGTTCGGGCTACGAAAATATACGACAGCGCAATCATTTCGTTTCATGCGCTCGACCGAGATGGTCGACTTCTGAACAAAAGATCCCTCTATGCTTAACCCCAGTGGCGGAAATGCCCATTACTTTGTCCATTACTCATGGATTATTTGTCACCTATGTGCATGAAAAGATCGATTACAAGCTCCATTACTTTCTTAACAAATGGCCGCGTTTTCAATCGAGTGCATAAAATAATTGATTTTTGTAATGCAGAAAGTAATGAAGTGACTAAGTTTCATTCGGTTTTCCATTACCCAAGCGGATACTTTGTAAACCCTGAATCAATTGAAAATGGGAAATCAGGGTATAATGGTTTTGTTAAATGTAACAGGCAGAAGGAGGCGTGGCAGACTCCAAAAAGTATATATATTCTTGATCAGGGCGACGAGCTGAGATGTTTTAGCTCTGTATGTCTGTCCGTCCGTCTGTCCGTATGTTTGAACGCGTAGATCACAGAAGATATAAGAGTTGGAGAATATCGAATATCTCCAAATTTTATATGTATCTCTATTTACATTTTATACAATTTCGGTTTTTGTCAAAATTTACTCCCCACCCCTAATTCAGGAGTCTTTCAAATACTAGGGACTTGTGCTTTGGCACATACATGCATATCTATGTTATATTAATAATCTGAAAGTTTCATAAAGATCGTACGTCCACAAAAAAAGTTATTGAACAATTAAGTTCTCATAGTAAGCGCACACTGCAGCGAGTTTTGGCGTGGGTGCTTGTGAGCGTGTATGTGTGTGTATCCGTGTGTCTTTTGTAAGTAAAAAGACGCGAAAAATTATTGAAATAGCTATTGCCCGAAGGGTTCAGGGGATCTCGTAATCGAGCAGTCTCGACTAGAGTTTCTTACTTTTTATACCCTGAACCCATTGAAAATGGGAAATCAGGGTATAATGGTTTTGTGAAAAGTATGTAACAGGCAGAAGGAATCATCGCAGACCCCATAAAGTATATATATTCTTGATCAGCGCGACGAGCTGAGTCGATATAGCCCTGTCCGTCTGTCCGTCCGTCCACCCGTATGAGCAAAAGGATCTCAGAAGATATAAGAGCTAGAGAGCTGAAATTTGGCATGCATACTCGTGTATACCATAGGCAGAACAAGTTTATCTTATTTTTTCGATCACTCATCCGATAACTTTTTTATCGAGAATAATGGAAAATTCGACATGGTTTTTTCAGCCTAATTTGAACACTTTTAGACCTGGACACTTCAAATTTGCGTTGCATATAAAGCTAATGGACACAAAGATTTTGTAATTTACAGATTTTGGATACCACGCCCCATTCGCCCCCAATTTGTAAAAAACGCATTTCAAGTACTAGAAACTTGTGCTTTGGAATGTACACACATTATAACCATATAACCATAAC